GGGGGGGGGGGGGGGGGGACTGCCCAGAGGCACATACTCAGGCAGAGGCAACTAGATAAAGAGGGCCTGATGAGTTCTGAGTTTCATTTTGTTATCATTGTTTGGCTTGTTTGTTTTTGGACAATTTGGTGCTGTCCCTGTTTTCTGGAGGACCATAATTATAACCACAACTACAGCCACCACCTATGATTTCAAGGGCTGTGTTGGGTGCTTTCCATACATTATTTCAATCCTTAAAAAATGGTTTTCTTTGCTAAGGTAGATGTTATTGTCCCTCTCCCAGGCACATGGAAACTGAGGGTCAGAGAGGCTAAGTAATTTGTCCAAGGTAACACAGCGAACTGTGACTGAGCTGGGATGTGACCCTCGATCTGTCTGATGCCCTTTCCCTGGACTGTGCTCTCTCTCTTTTCCTCCTGGGTCTGAGACTCTAGGCCTCCTTCCTTTAACACCTGTACATCACATCTGGGTCAGCGGAGTGCCCAGCTCTGGTCCTCAGGTGTCCCCTTCCTTCTTCCCATTGGGTCAGGACCCTGAGAGGCCCTGGGTTGTTTTTCCTCAAGAAACGACTGGAGCTTTGCAGGACATCCTACTCTCCCATGGAAGGCTTCACGGAAACGGGACCCCCCAGACCCTGGCCCCTTCGATTGCTCAAATGCTACAGCTGCTCTTGACCATCAGCAAACAGTCATTCTGCCAAGCGACTAATGGGGTGAGGGCAGGAGCGACCGCCGTGGTCGTCCGTGGACAAGCGGGCTGGCTGGAACAGCATGCTCTATTAAGTGCATGTCTTTTATGGTCTGGGCTGATTGTCCCAGACAAACAGCAAGCTTTTTATTATTCCTGAGATTTCCCGTTTGTTTATGGTCCTGGCTCTTTGAATGAAATTGCAGACCCGTTGTAAGGACCCACTGCAAATCACTGGCTTCATGAAAACAGCTCCCGGAGATCTGGACTCAACTGGAGGGGTCAAGGACACATGTCAGGCTAATAAACTCCTCCGTGCTGTGGCTGAAGGCGGCTGGCAATGTGCTCTCTATGGGACCCTCTATCTCACCCTGGGAGACCTCTGTTATTGTTTCCATTGAGCAGGTAGGAAAATAGAGGCCACCCAGCTGGTGAGTGGCAGAGCAGCACTTGAGCCACGAATATTTATGGCAAATCTTAGGTCCTCTCCTCCAACCAAGCCTGGGATTAAGTTCAGAGCAGTAGGCACCTCTCAGGGCCCTGGAGGAGGGATTTTTCTGAGGGGCGCTAGAGAGGCAGCACATAAGGAGCTGGGCATCGGAAGACCTGGGTTCTAGCCCCGGCTTAGCTACTCACACACAGGGTGACTTTGGTGAAGTCACTTCCTCACTTTGGGCTGACTCAGTTTCCCCATGTGTGAAACAGGGAGTTGGGTTCACGTTCTCTAAAGTGACTTCTGATTCTAGCATTTGGCAATTCTGCGTGGAGTGTTAGCGGGGGATGGTCAAGGAGCTCTCAAGCTTTTCAGTGATCTGGGAACAAAGAGGGTGATAAACAGGGTGGTGCCAGGGGCGGTAAGATCCCCTAAATGGAGGGGTGGTGGGGAGGAAAAAGAGAGGTACATTCAGGGGTAAGGGTTCAGGGAGAAGGGAATCTCTAGGCTCAGGGAGCCTGGAGGACCTTCCGCTCTGTGCCCCTTGGCCAAGTCTTCTCTGGGCCTCAGCATATCTGTGTCGTGAGGTTTGGCCATGACGTGGAACAATCCTTGGCCAGGTGCTCGATACATCACCCCTATTTTCCTTTGAAGTTCGGGTACAATCTCAGTGCACAGACAGCACGTCCCTCGTACAAATTCTATGTAACTTCCAAGGGGAAACTGTGTTCCCTTCACTCACTGTCGCTCCGCTGGCTTGTCTAGTTCTTCCTCGTGTCTAGCCTCAGTCTCTCCTGCTGCCCTTCCCCTCGCACGGTTACCTGAGCGGGCGTACGATTCGTGGCACGTCTTGGTGATCTGGGCTGCGAGCTCTCGGTAGCGGGCCCTCTTTTCTTCCTTGGCATCCTCAGCGCCGAGGGCGATCATGCCCCCGGAGAAACAGGCCAGGTGCCCCATCTTGTGGTCCAGAATCCCCCCTCGCCACTCGGCAATGTAGGTCAGCCCCCCAGGAGAGACATTCAGCAGGTGGGTCTCTATTGCCTGGGAGCAAGGTGGGAGTTGGGCAGGGGGAAGGGGCATGGGGGGCGGGACAGAGAAGGGAAGGGGGAGAGGACGGAAAATGAACATTTTGCAGACAGCAGTGAACGCAGCTCTGCTGGGCCCTCCATCCCAGGCAAAGGAGGCCCTTGACCTTGGCTGGTGGTGGTCCCTGATGGGGCCAGTGGCACCTTCTGCCACTCGCCTGGCTGAAGCCTGGTGCCTGCGGGGGGCTTGGACACGAGGCAGCTCCCTAGGGTGAGTCTCTCATTTAGACTTAAAAAAAAAAAAAAATTACTTTTAGGTGATCTCTGCATCCAACGTGGGGCTTGAACTCATGACCCCGAGATCAAGAGTTGCATGTTCTACCGACTGAGCCAGCCAGGTGCCCTTCTTATGTAGACTTTTAAATCTTCTGTGCACAAAGATCTTTTAAAAAATCTTTAAAAATCCCTATCCATCCTCCACTGTATTCTCTGTTAGGGAGTCTTGACCTGAAGCCCAGCTGGCCTGTAGGTGGGCTCCAGGGGGTCCAGAAGGCCCGTCAAATTGTGTGTGACACTTTTGTGTATGTGCATTTTCATGGGAAGAGGGTCTAGATATTTTATCTGAGTCTTAAAAAGGACCCACAGAAAGTTAAGAGCTTCTCTCTACAAGCCCTTATCACACACCTTCTCATTTAATGCCCACGACGAGCCAGGCACATGGCTGCAGTGCCCTCTACAGACAAAGGGGTTGAGTGGCTTGTCCCAGGTCCCAGCCACGCCAGGATTAAGCCAAGGACCAGACGTCCAGACCGCTCTTCCTCTACCTGATGGCCACTCCTTCTGGTAAAGACTCCCGGGAGGTTGGAGGGTGTGGGTGTCAGGCCGTTGTACCCCTCGCTCCCTGCCATTACTCCCTGGGAGCCCAGGAGTCAGAGGTAATGGCAGTGCCCGTGGGTCCTAGTCCAGGGCTAGGCCTCTGGGGCCCTGGACAGACCTCTTCCTGCATTCTTGCCCCTCTAATATATTCTCCGGGGGTCTCTGCTCTCTGTAAATAATGCACCAGTTTAACCTGATGCCACAGACATGGCTCCTAGAAGCAGATTCCTTGGGTTCAAATGCCACCTCCATCAGTTCCAAGCTGTGTGACACTGGGCAGGTTCTATGTGCTCTCCGAGTGCCTCGATCTCCGAGCGTATGAAATGGGGAGATGACCATAAACCACCTCATAGGGTTGTGAGGACCGGGTGACATGTGTGTGCAGCCCTCAGCATACTTCCTGGCGCAGTGAGAGTCCTCAGTGCCCGTGGGCTGTTCCAGCTCCTCTCCAGCCCGCCCCCCCCCCCCCCCCCCCCCCCAGCCTCTTTTCATTCCCACCCTCTCCTCCCATCCAGTATTCGAGTGTATTCCGTGAGCGCCTCCTTGGGGCCAGCAACGGTTCGGGCAGGGTATATAGCCCCTGAAGACACGCAGCCTGGGCCCTGCCTGGGGTGGAGGTGGGGGCTCACCTGCTAGTCAGAGACTTCCCCACAAAATCAAATACACGCACGAATTAGGATTTGTGGTTGGCATTTTACAAGAAACATGCTCCACCCCAACTGCGCCACTCTGGCTTGTCTCTGGGCATCCTCCACGATGCGTTTCCCTGGAGACGGCGCCCTGGCCCAAACCCCGGCTGCCCCGGTCCGCTCTTCCCGTCGCCTTTCTACGTGGTGCCGTCCCCACTTTGTGCGTCCGTATCTGTGTGTGTGTCTGTGGCATGTCTGTCTCTCTCCCGGGACTCTGAGGGCTGCGTGAGAGCAGAAGCCGCCACCACCAACCTCCGGCCAGGGGCTGACATACAGAAGGCACTCCAACACCTTGGCTCTTGGATCCGTTTGTTTCTTTTCCTGCTCCTGCAAGGTCCCGGCTGGGGGGCTGGCTGCAGGACCCTCACTGAATAGCAGATGGGGAGGTTCTGATGACGTGACGTGCCCAGGGCACCTGTGCCATGTGGGGAGGAGCACTGAGGAGCACTTGAGCCTGGGGAGCCGCTCACTACTGGGTTGGGTCTGCTCTGGGCTGGGCCCTGGCTCCTGGGTAGAGCTGGGTCCATGCGGGTGTGGAGGAGGGGTGGCAGGCTAACCCAGGCTGCAGAAATCTGGTTCAGTTACCCACTGTCAACACTTGGGGGAGAACACAGACATCTGGGGGCGATCCCATGAAGCCTCAACCACAGTGCAAAAACTGCCCCTTCCAGACTGACTCCCGTGGATTATTTCCATTCTGGGTTAATGCCAGGCTAAGCAATGTGGTAAAGACGAAATGACAGACCAGTCTCTCTGTGAGGACACTACTGAGACAAGCACATAGGTGCAGAGATTAAAAATCAAGGCTTTCTAAAACCCTAAGCCAAACACGAGACAACACAGGCTGCCAACTGACTGGTTAGGCTTCAATCATAGCAGGAGACAGAGCAGAGCCGAGCGGGATACAGAGGCCTGGATTGGAATCCCAGCTCTGCAATTTGAGAATTGGGTGATTCTGGGCAAATTTATTTCACTTTTCTGAAGATTCCTTCTCCTCATTCGTAAACTGGGAATAATTCCTGGGATGGCTGTGAGGAAGCCTCTGCTTCCTTTGGCCCTCCTGGAGGGGACCCCATCTGTACATTCCCGAGAGGGACTTCAGACAAGCCAGGCTCCTTTGTGGTTGGCAGGCGCACTCTATCTGGAGTCAGTGTTTGCACCCTGGCTTTGACACTGGCTGCTGTGTGACCTCGGGCCTTTCTGAGCTTCAGTTTCTCGTCTGTAAAATGGGGTTAAATAAGACAAGGCAGTCACTGCACCTGCCTGGAGGAGGTCACAGTGACAGATACTCTCCATGTCCTTCTTTTCGCTCCTCCTCTCCTCCTGGGACCCTCCAGGGGTGTGCCCAGTCTGCGTGTCTGAATCGTCCACACCCGCCTGTGCCGGACATTGTTCTAACTTATACACTGGAAACCCACCCCCCCTACCCCGGCCCGCCCCCTGCCCCAGGCAGCTTTCAAGGCTGTTTCCTGGGCCTCAGCCCAGAGGTTCTGATGTACCTTGCCAGGGTGCAGCCTGAGCAATGGGATTTTTAACGTGTGGACAAGGTTGAGAACTACCAGAATATTCTTCAAAGCCCCAAACTTGCCAGAGGCCCAGTCTTTACCCAGGGTCAGAGATACTCCAGGCTCTTCACTAGGGATATCAAATTCAGGGAGCAAAGCCAAGTTCTCTCCTGTTCAATCAAGTGCTTTCCATAAAGCTCCCGTTTGCTTAAATAATTCATGACCATTTCTTCCCTTGAAGCCTCAACTACAGTGTGCCCTGAGGGCAGGGAACCAGGCTGTTCACTAACTTCGTGTTTACCCTGCAAGGAATGACAGAAATGTAGAAAGGCCTTTCCAGGCAGCACCTCCTGTGCAGGCTGAACACAGATCCTCAGATAGGAGACACTGGCTGTGGTCTAAGCTCAGCTGGAGCTGAATCTGGGGCTGAGACTCAGACTGAGATGGGACTGCAGTCCCAGTAGCTGCTTCATGACCAAGGTCTTGGTGCTGGGGAGCTGGGCGGGGAAAACTCCTCACCAAGCCCACAGTTTAAAAGGTCCATGGCTGTGGAGGCCTGTTTCAATGCACTTCCTTTAAGCACTACTGTTTCTGGTCAGACTCATGCAATCAGAGGGTAGTTAGAGATCACTCACCCATCCGTCCAACTGTTCATACCCATTCATCCACTATATCCACTCACCCATCCATCCTTCCACCTGCCTATCTACCCATTCACCCACCTATCCATCCTTCCACCCACACATCCACCCGTCCCTCCCTCCATCCATCCACCCATCCATCCACCCACCCACTGATCCACCCATTCACTCGTCTGTCCGTCCATCCATCCATCCATCCATCCATCCATCCATCCATCCATCCCTTCAGCAATCATATGTTCATTTGTTCACAAAACAGTTATTGTGTGCTTGCCATGTACCGGGCACTGTTTTAGGAGTGAGGCAGACACAGTGAATGACTAGACAAGATCTTCGCTCCTTGATAGCTCACATTCTATTTGGGGAAGACAATGAATGAGTAAACAAATATGGGCACAGGATAATTTTCAGTGCCCATGAAAGCAAAGAAGAGAGTAAGTCTGGGGTTTGTGACAGAGAGAGGTGGCAAAAGGCCAATTCCTAGTGGTGTATTTGAGTTGACCAATAAATGGGCCACAGCCACTTGAATGATATTCCACATAGAGACAACAGCAAATACAAAAGCCCCAAGGTGGGATTGAGTCTGGTGTGTCTGCAGGAGGCTGGGGACCACACCTGACAGCAAAGGGGAAGGAGTTCAAGGTGACTGGTCGGTCTATATCAGGTGGGCAAAGGTGAGGAGTCTAGTTTATTCCAAATGTGAAGGAGCCACTTCTCCCGGCTGCTGTGTGGAGAGCCGACTTAGGAGGGCAGAAGAGCAAGAAGTCTAGTTGAGGAGACATAAGACCTCAGACCAACACGGCAGCAGAGTAAATCCGACTTGCTCAACTCACTTTATGAGGAAACCGAGGCCTGGAGTCTACCCAGGGCCTTTTCCTTACTTGGGCTCAGAAGCACCTATTGATGGGCCAACGGGAGTCTATAACCTCCTTTCCAGTAGCGCAGGCTAACCAACTCCCTCTTCCATCCTGAGGTGTCCCCCTCCTTGCAGTCACCACCCCAGCCTACCGTCTCTTGTCCAGTTCACACCCTATAGCCAGACCAGCGGTGGTGAGGGGCCATGGGGGAAACACTGGGGCTGGCTGAGAAGATCTGGCTTTAGCTCTGGCTCGGCCAGCGCTGTGCTGTGTGCCTTTGAGCAGTGCCTTCCCCTCTCTGGGCCTTGATTTCCATCCACATAGAGAGAAGGAGCAGAACTGGATGCTCCACTGAGGGAGGCCCCTCCCCATTTGGACACGCTAATTACATCACCTCTGCTCCACCAGGAAGAGGGCTGAGGGTCTTGCTTTGGCGGCCTCTTTTGGGGGCTCCCAGGCCACCACCTGACTACGCTGTGGGCTCTGACACATTGACTGAAGCCCACACGCCACGGTTTCTGAAGCAGACTGACTGCCACTTCCTGTGAGGCCTTGGACAAATGACTTTCCCTCCTTGAGCCTGGGTTTTGCATGTGTAACGCGAGGATGCTAACATGGCCCTAATTTCAAGGTGTTCGAGAAGAGTCACAAATTGGGTGTGCAAAGCAACCGGCTGGGGAGGAGACTGTCTTGTTCTTCTGGCTAGCACACCACGGTGGGGGTGGTGGTGGTGAGCACTTAGGGGCCTGTGCCAGACCCGGTGGGGAAGGACCAACCACCGGTGAAGAATCCGACACTTGTCTTACCTCCAAGGCTTCATAGTACATATCTTTAGCCTCCACATCTGTCTTGGCCGACATCAACCAGGATTTGATCAAATATTCATAAAAACTGTCCCCGAGTCCTCCAACCGAGACGTGGTCTGTGAGGGGAAAGAGGACAGGAACGTTATTTTTAAAGTATTAAAAAAAATTATTTTTGATGTTTATTATTTTTGAGAGAGAGAGAGAGACAGAGCATGAGCAGGGGAGGGGCAGAGAGAGAGGGAGACACAGAACTGAAGCGGGCTCCAGGCTCTGAGCTGTCGGCACAGAGCCCGGCGCGGGACTCGAACTCGCGGACCGTGAGATTATGACCTGAGCCGGATGCTCAGGTCAGGACCGGACGCTCAACCGACTGAGCCACCCAGGCGCCCGAGGGAACATTATTTTAACTGCTGAGGCCACCAGGCAGGTCTCACCGAGAGACTCATTGGGTGGCGAGTCTCACGCGCTGGCCTCTGTGGTTCCCCCCAGTGCTGGGTGCCGATGGGGAGCAAGTGTTTGATCAGCAGACTTCTGAGCCCTGAGAGGACAGGGGCTGAAAGGAAGGCACAGACTGTGACTCGAGGAACCAGGGCCACCTTGAACACGATCATGCGGCATGCAAGTGCACAGGCTCACCCGGGTACATAAATCATGTCGCTTTAGCAGACCGAGGATGGCAGGGCCTCTGGTTATTAACTGTAAATGAGTTGCATTTCTTTAAAAAGATAATCTGGTGGCAGGGAGTTCAGAGATTTTTATTACCCGGTGACAAACATGGTAATTAATGCTGGGCAGGTTCATAAAAGGCCATGGAAAGGAGGAACGGGAGCCTTAATTTAGTCACAGTACAGAACCACTTGGAAAAACCAAGCTTAAATGGAGCAGGTTAGGATAAATGGAGTTTCCAAGGAGCAGGGGGAGGGAAGAATTGGGTTTTGAAGAGCCCCTCTTTGTCCTGGGTGGCATCAGCCTGGAGTTGGCCACAGAGCAGGACCGTGAGGCTGTGGCTGAATGAGGAGGTGACTCTGCTCAGGGCTGTCCCGGGAGAAAGACGGGTCAACCGTGAGCGCTTAACCCGAGCGGCAAGACACGGAAATCGCTTCGCTCACATGCTTTAAAAATTAACAACAGGGAAACAGAAAGGCATTTAATAGAGAAACAAAGAGGAAACTTCAGTTCCCTGTTAAGATTCATTTAAGCAGAAAAAGAGAGGAAGGAAAATAGGGGGGACAGATTCAGGCAGGAAAGGGGCGATGGGGAAGTTATTTCTAGCTCCTCTGGACAAAGCAGGGATAGGAAGACAGAAGGGAGGGGAAGTGGGGGGCGGGGAGAGAAAAGGAAACAGAAAATCTGTCAAAAGCTACCATTTCTCCAGGGTCTACTGTGGGCCAGGAACTTTACTGTATTGTCTGTAACAACCTCCCAAGAAGCCTGTAGGTAAGCATTGTCAACCCCTTTCCCAGATGGGAAAACTGTGAGTGGGCCTACATAGTGACTCCAAGGCCACTAAGGTGGCAGAGCCCTCACTTTCTGCAGCCTGACAGTCAACCAGAGGATGAAAATAAAGGTGCCTGGAGTCAGAAAGGACAGCGTGGAGAGAGAGGGACCAAAAGTCAGAGGGTAAAGACAGGTGGGGACCAGGCAAGCGGGCTGAGAGGAGAACCCACAGCAAACCAGCCCTTCTGGCTCCTTCCGGCCCCATAAACAAATCATGGCCCAGCAGGGGCTCAGCAAAAACCGGAACAGATCAGAGAAATCCTGTGCCTTGGGGAGCCACGGGAGGGGTGAGTGTGGGCTGAACCTTGCTCTGTGAAGGGGGACTCAGCAGCACACCCCCCATCCCCCACTGCTACATGGAGGACGCGGCTCGCGGCTCGGGACGCAGCACAAAGGGAGGCGTGGGGCATGCCAGGCCCCGCATGTCCATGGCGTGTCCATGGCTGGAGCAGGTCCGTGCCGAGCAGGGGGCTGAGGAAGGCCGGAAGTTAAATCGGGTCGGCCTCCACTCAGGGCCCTCCCACAGCTCACAGCCCACAGAAGAGGCACACGGGCACACAGCCGAGGGCACTGTCACCGCCAGGCTCACCTGGGCCTGCTTCCTGTCACCGTTTTCTCCACCACCCGACACTCCTAGCCCCTTGCCTCCTCACACTCACTCTCACCTGTGGTGACCCCTCTGCCAGAAACACCCTTCCCCCCCCCTTGCCCGGCTAACACTTCCTCCCTGCTACACCCCAGCTCGGGCATCCCCTCCTCAGAAAGGCTTTTCTGTGTCCTCATAAACCTGCTCACAGTCCTTCCCTGCAGGGTGACCATGAGAAGTGAGATAACGCACACGCAAATCCGGCCCTCATGTGGCAAGCACTCAGTGGTAGCAGGTCCTACTCTTACTGGGGGTGTCCTTGCCGCTGGCTGCCCCCAAAGCTGTGGTGTAAGTATCTGCTTATGGGCCCACCTCCCCCACCAGGCTGTGGGCTCTTTATGGGGAGGAACCGCATATGATTCTCACTTTATGCCCAGCGCCTGTATGGCACCCAGTGGATGTCCAGGAAGTCCTGAACGAAAGAAAATAAGGTAGGTTTGAGCTGTGTTGGGAAGGGCTTCGAACGCCAAGCCAAAGAGTTTGGACTTCATCATGTGATTGCAGCGTGTGTACGTGCAGGAGACGGGAGCCAGGCCCCCAGGAGTGCCATGGGAGTTTGGGACAGGACACCCTCTTGGGGACACGCGCAGAGCTTCTCAGGGGCCTCTACCAAAGTGATCAATTGTCATTTGGCACACAGAGAGCGCAGGGGTGGGAATCAGAAGGCGAAGATCTGCCATTAGCTCAGGGCAAGCCATCTTCCCCGCTGGGCCTCAATCTTTTGATCAATAAAATACAAAACAGGAGCATGAGTTGGTGTGCATGAGCCTGAACAGAGATGAGCTTTGCTGCTTCCTGATCGTGTCATCACACTTGGCAGGGGGAGGCCACCACCCTACACTGGCTCTCAGGAAAGTACCGTGAACCTGGGGGAGGCTGCCAAACTGGGGCCAGTGGGCAGCTCACGCTACGTACCCACTGGGGAGAATCTAGATTTGCCACACCTTCTCATCGAGGAAGGTGTGGGATTCAGGCAGTGGACCAGACAAGCCACTCCAGGGGCCAAGCTGAAGGGCGGGCAGCTCTCTGAGCTCTGAGGGGCTCTGTGAGGCTCGGTCTCATCTGTGCTTGGTACCAGCAGGAGGCTGGTGAACTTGTCTTGGCTGTGAAGTCCCGGTGGCAGGAGGGTCTTGGCCTCCCCTGTTACCCTGCAGCTCAGTTTTCAGTGGGAGCAGCGGGGGCCTGGGACCCGGACGCAGACCTAGCTCCTTCTCTCCAAGCTGTAATTGCTGTGGTTGCAAACGCGCTTTGAATCCAGAGGATTCAAGGAAGGAAAAGAATGCGAACACACTTAGCTTATGCAAGTTGGGAATGTTCTCATCTGTTGGGAAAATACACAATTACCAAAAAGTCTCAGCAAAAACCACAGAAAACCTGAGATGAGTCCAGGTGCCAAACCCACGGGAGGAGGAAGGCAGGCGCCCGGGTGAGCAGGGCTTGATAGCCTTCCCTCTGTTCTCTAGCAGGCCTCAGATTCATATTTTATTCTATTAATTTTTTTCATGTTTGTTTATTTTTGAGAGACAGAGCATGAGCAGGGGAGGGGCAGAGAGAGAGGGAGACAGAATCTGAAGCAGGCTCCAGGCTCTGAGCTGTCGGCACAGAGCCTGACGCGGGGCTCGAACTCATGAACTGCAAGATCATGACCTGAGCCAAAGTCGGATGCTTAACCGACTGAGCCACCCAGGCACCCCTGATTCATATTTTATTAATATGAAACAATTTTCCGTATGTGACCGACTTTGCTCAGTCTTGTGACCCCTGGCGCAGCCTGAAAAGAAAGTTATGTTTCTCAGCGGGGTGGGTGGGGGGCTCCCTGTAATTTGCCAAGGTAGCTGTTGGGACTGGGAAGCCACGCCCCTCTCCCTCTCTTTATGGCTTTTGCTGGAGCGGCTAAGGCCAGCAGGGGGGCAGTTTATCTCTTTACCCAGTCGGGCCTTGCAATTAAAAGCAGTAACAGTTATTGAACTGTCTCTTCCCGTGGCCATAATCTGTAATTCAAACCTTCATTTTCTCCCTGCACTTTTGGATTTGGCGGTGTGTTTTGGTTAAAAATACTTTGCTTTTGTGTAAGTGGTTTTTGCAGGAGGCCACTTGGGAGTGAGGTCATCATCAGGGAAAATTCCTGGGTCAAATTTTCTGGGCCTTCTGGACCTGTAATCACAGAGACTCAGGGGTGGAAGAACGATGCCTCTGCAGCTTTTCCGTGGTGTCCCCGCCGGCTGGCCAGCCCTCCAGGCCCTGACTGTATACTTTTACTGATGGGTATTCATCACCTTTTAGAACAACACATACCATCTTTGGAAGATGAACTGAAATCTGTTTCCTGCCCCTTCTGACCGTTACTCCCACACCCCTCCATGGTGCACAAAGAACATAACTCTAGTTCTCCTCCCATGTGTAGGAGAGGAAACCAAGGCTCAGAGAGATAAAGTGAATTCCCCACAGCCGTGCAGTAATTAGACTCATATCTACTTGGCCCCTGAGCCCTTGCTGATGTCATAACAACTGGAGCTGGAGGCAGGGAAAGGGAAACGGGTCTTTGAGCAGAAATGGCGGAGGTGAGGGTCGGGGTGCTCTGGGAAGCCCCTAGAAGCAGGGCCCAAGGAACCTGCCGCCCCCAATTCGTGCTATGGCCTCATAATCAAGGCCTCTAGACAAGGGAACAATCCCAGGGTCCTGGGAGACTTTTCAACACTCTCCAGCCTGCACACCACCCCCCCCAAACCCCATTCCGTTTCAGTGGGTGGAGCTGGGGGCTGAAAATGAGGCTCCGTGGGCGACCCACACGTGTCTGGTTGAGGAACAAGCCTCTGAATAGAGAACAGCAGGAAATCCCAGGACCAATTCTTGTAGGTGTAAGATACAGAGGTGAATTCATGATTTTTGTACTGCTGTATAGTTAGTCCACTTAAGAATTAAAAAAAAAAAAAAAAA